GCCGCGGGCGCGTTCCCCCCCGCTGACTCCACGCTTGCCCAAAGCCATGCGGCCTTCAGGTCGCGTGACTTCGGCTGGGCGGCGGTCAGCCCGGCGAGCGGTGCACGAGCGGGGAGGGGAAGAGGAGGGCTGGTCGGCGGGCTCGCCTGACGGCAGCGTGTGCTGGCAGCATCGCCGCGGTGCCGTAGATGCGCTCGATCTGGACACCGCCGCCGAGCGTGAGGTAGCCGCCCAGAAGCACGCCTGTGCGCGCACACGGCGCGAGGTGAGGAGGCGCGGCCGGCTCCGGGGGCCGTCCCCGCCGCAGGCATCCACACGCGCCGTGGTGGCCACAGCGCGTCACCGAGGGAGCCTTCGCGCCGCCGGCCAGCCGGACCGCCTCCTTGGTCGCCGCTGTCCACGGGACGTTTGAGCTCCACGCGGACCACTCCACCTCGCCCCCGGGGAATTGGTCCGCGTACTCGATCTGCCAGCCGGGCGGAGCAAGCGGCGACGGCGAGGAGGGCGGCGGCGGCGAGGGCGGCAGCCCCGGGGGTGGCGGCGAGGGCGGGTGGATGGGCGGCCAAGGAGGGTGCCAGGGCGGCGCCGGCGGCGACGGGGGAAGGTGCGGCGGCGGAGGCGGGGCCGGCGGGCGCGGAGGCGGCGCCGAGGGCGGAGGGCTCACGGGCGGCGCTCCGGGCGGCGGCGGCTTTGGCGGCGGGGGCGGCGAGGCAGGCGGGGAGGGGAAGAGGACTGAGATTCGGACGTTAGCGACGCCCCACGACTCTTGGTGGGAGGTGCCTCCGAGTGTGGTGGTGATGGTCACGGTGGCGGTGGGGTCGGTGTGGGGGATGGTGGCGTCGGCACGGACAAAGTAGTCGAGGTACGCGTCTCCAGGCTCGCCGCAGATCTGCTCGGCGGGGAGAGGTGCGAGCTGCTGCGACCAGGCGGGGAGGTCGTCGACGAAGATGTACGCCTCCTCCGACGGCTCCGAGTCGATCTTGATGAGGTCGAGCTCGACGCGGAGCGCGTCGTGCTGCGGCAGCTTGAACGTCTTCGAGATGAAGGAGTGGCGACCGAGTGACTGCCGAGGGGCGAGGGGGAGCGGGGCGCCGCTGGATCCTCCGAGGAGAGGGGGCAGGGCGGGGGTGGTGGCTGCCTGACTCCTCGGGGGGCCGCGGCGGGAGGCCCTCGACACCGCTCTGTGCTCTCTGCTCGCCTGCAGCTCGTAGCCCGCTATAGATCTCTCTCTCTCTCTCTCTGCTCGCCTGCAGCTCGTAGCCCTCGAGGACAACTGCAGTCACGCCGAGGCTGCCGCACAGGGTCGTGTACATGGTGGAGCCCTCCCAGCCGCCCGCCTAGGGGGTCGCGGACGCGGGTGCGGCAGCTGGGCGGCGCCGAGCGTTTGGAACGGACTGCGACGGCGCGGGGCGTGCAGAACGGAGCTGAAGAGCGGGTGTGTAGCGGTGTGTGCGAGTGGTGCGGGAGAGACCCCACCTCTGGCGGAAAGGCGTCAAAGGCAACCAGCCCCCACTGCGGCGGCATCATGGGCGCCGGAGACGGCGGCGGCTCTGGCGGCGGCGGCGGCGGCGTTTCGGGCGGCAGCGGCGGGGGGCTCGGCGGCGGAGAGGATGGTGTTGGTGGGGGCGGGTGGCTTGGCATCGGCGGGCCGGGTGGCGGCGCGGGTGGCGGCGGCGGCGCGGGTGGCGGCGGCGGCGGCGCGGGCGGCGGCGGCGGCGGTGGAGCCGCCGGCGACGGCGGCGGCGGCGGCGCCATCGGCAGCGGCGGCGGCGGCGCGGGTGGCGGCGGCGGCGGCGCACGAGGGGACGGTGGCGGCTCTGTCGGCGGCGGCGGATTAGGAAAAGGAGAGGGTGGCGGCCGCGGAGGCGGTGGGGGAGGGGGCGGAGGTGGGGAGGGCGGAACTTTCGGGCACGCCGGGAAGAAGCCATCGCAGAACCGGCACTTGGCGTACCCTCCCGCACCACACCCGAGCCCCATCGCAGAGACGGTGGCCGTGCCGCACGCCGGGTCGAAGTAGCAGCGTAGCGAGTTCTGGTAGTTGGTGCAGACGCCCTCCTGGGCGCCGCTCGTGCACGGCTCGCCCTGTGCGGCCGCGCCAAGCAGCTGGCTGAGGAGGAGTGTTCGGTACATCGACATTATATTCACCCGGCCACAGGGCCACAGGTGCGGTCAAATGAACGCCGAGAGAGTGGAGACGCCGCGAACCCGCCTCCTGCCGGTACATATTTGTTTTCTTCGAGTCAGTGTGTAGAGACGGAAATGACAGGTCTCTCCTCCAAGTTGGGGTGAACTTTTTCACGCCACCCGCTGTGTTTGGCTCGGGGCCTATCAGACCTCACCACAAGCGTACCGAAAGCGCACAGGGGCTCTCGAGAGCCTCGAGACCGCGGACGGACCTCTCTCTCTCACCGCCCAAAGCGCGACCGCGGGTCCCTGCCCCCGTGCCTCCCCGCCCGAGCCTCGTTGACCGTCTTGACCCGCTGCAGCTCCCGCTTGACCACGCCCTCCACCACCGCGTTGAGCTCCTTCAGCTGGCGCTCCATCGCGTCGTTCGCCTCGAGCACGGTCCCAATCTTCCGGTCCTGCTCCTCCCGCTCCGTGCGCAGCTTTTCGAGCTCCGCCAGCGCCTCCTCGAGCCGGCTCGTCTGCTCCTCCAGCTTGCTGCTCAACTCGCGCTTCACATCCTCGCTCGCGGCGTCCGCCTCGGCCGCGTCGTAGAAGCCTCTCTTGACGGACCCGAGGTCGGTCGCCGAGAAGGAGCGCTCCGAGTCCTCCAGCACCGGGTCGAGCGGCTCGGGCGGCGGCAGCAGCGCCGCGCCGTCGGCCGCAAGCCCGCCCTCATTCTCGAGGGTCGCCGCCTCGAGGCAGTCTGCGGTCAGGGTTGCGAGCGAGAGCTTGAGGCACCACGCGGCGAACACGCCGAACGCGAGCTCGCCGCCGCCACAGAGCGCCCCGTAGGCGGCGGCCGCGTCGTCGACCACGACGCCCCACTCGGCGACTCTGCCGCACACGGTGGCAAACTCGTCGGCGCTCACCGGCGCGGCCATGCGGCCTTCGGCCGCGCGCTCAAGCATCAGCAGCAGCTCAATGTACTGGCGCACGTAGACAATGAGCAGGTAGAAGCCCCATCGGCCCAACGACCCCGGACCCGCCCCGCACGGTGCGCTCGCCTCAGCAGCCTCCTCGGCGCGCTCAAAGCCGTCTTCGATGGCCGCCGAGAGCAGCTCGGCCTGTGTCTCGCCCGGCTGCAAGTGTCGCATCAGCCCGGCCCTCGCCTCCTCGGCTTCCATCGTCGAGGCCGCCGTGCAGACGTCAAACACAGCCCTCCGGTCCACCCTCTCCTCCTTCCCGACGGGCAGCTTGGCCGCCATGGCGAGCCAGCCAGCCGCTGCCGACGCCGCGCCACCCCCCACGCCGGACGCCTCGCCGATCGGCGCGCCCGCCGCCTCGCCCTCCCCGGCGGCGGCCCCGCCCGCCGCTTCGCCAGCGGCATCTTCGACCAACTCGCGCACGGGCGCCATGAGCGCGACGAGCAGCACGTCGAGCCGCGGCGCCGCCGCGTCGGCAGCCGTGAAGGCGTCCAGCTTCTCGAGGGCGGGCTCGGACAGGTCGAGCGAGGCGATCGCAGATGTGGCGCGCGACACGGGCACAGTGGCCTTCTCTCCTTCGCCCACCAGGGTCGGCGCGATCGGTGCCGCGTCGCACAAGGACGGCACGAGACCGAGCACCCTTCGGTTGACAGCCTCCTCGTGCGGCTCCTTCACCATGCCGCAGAGCTCGCCCAGGAGGCGAACGCTCTTATGTGTTCTCCACGAGGCCTCAACACCCTTGACGATGCTGGCCAGCGCCGCCTCGGCAAGCTTGTGGGCGCCGTGCTGCTCTGTGGCCCACTGCCAGACGTGAGAGGGCATCGAGGCGCGGCTCTGACCAGGCTCGAGGTCGGCGGCGTCAAGTTTGACCTTGCTCTCCACAAGCTCACCAATCGCCGAAAGCAGGTCCCCAAGCGGCAGCGGAGACGCCTCTCGCAAGGCGCGCGTCGACATGACGCGCTGCCACTCGGCTGGCACGGTCGCCTCAAAGCTGCCATCCTCGTCCTCATCCTCTTCTTCGTCCACCTCGTCCTTTGCCTCTCCAGGCTCCTCCTGCTGCTGCTTTGGCACTTCGCCCGCCGCCTCCTCCCCCTTATTCGTCTCCGCCTCTGTTTCCTCTTTCCCCCCCTCCCCCTCAGCCTCTGCCGCCACCTCCCCGTTCTCCTCCTGTGCCTCTGCCGCAACCGGCGCCGCCACGCCCTCTGCCTCCTCCTTCGTCTCTGCCGCCGCTGCATCCCTACCATCGATCTGGGCGTCCGGACTACTCTCTGTAGTTGCCTCACTGGTCGGAACAGGAGCATCAGCCACTGGGTCTGCAATGCCTTCCGCCTGATCCTCAACAGGTGCGGATTCGGTGCCGCTGGGAGGCTCGTGCACCTCCTGCTCCGACGGACTGCCACCGTCAGCTTCGACGGCCGCAGCGCCGTCAGTGGCGCTACTCTCTGCTGGCGGCTCCTCGGCAGAGTCGTCGTGCATTGCCTCCTCCACCTTTGTGTGTCGCGAAACGTGCGGCGGGATATTCGTTGCTATGAAACGGCAATCGTGGGCTGCAGACGTGAGAAAAATGTCCGACCACCGGCCAAAAGCGCATGTCTTGAAGGTCCGATACTGGAAGCCCATATAGGCACCTTACAAAAAATTTCATTCGGCCCGCTGGTGCGCTTCATAGCTCCATAGCTCCAGAAAGAAGAGTCGTCCTTGCGAGAGAGATTTTTAGCATTTGAGAGAGACATTTTTGTGTTTTGTTTGTCCTTGCGCGAGGAAGGAGAGCTTGATAAACTCGAGGGGCCAAAATACGCCGCGAGAAGAAGCCGCGAGAGCAAGGGATCGGCAGCGGCGGCGCAGCAGGACGAGGTAGAGGAGAGAGCGACGCGACAGAGGATGAAGCGACAGGAGGGAGAACGACGAGAGTGGGGCGACCGCGAGGTGGCATGAAGGTACTCCACACTGCAAATCAATAGCTGTTACTTGTGGCCTCTCTCATTCATTCATCATCGTCATTCCAACCAAACAACCAATTGGTTGGTACCTCCCCACGCGCACGGCCCACCGCTCCAGAGGCTCCAGCCTCCACCTCGAGGCCTCCACCCCTCTGCTCTCGGTTTCTCGGTTTTTCTTTCTTTCTTTAGCTCTCAGAGAAACCGCGACGGGCAGGTGTGTATTCTTTTTGCTTGGCAGGCCCTCATGCCGCGGACTTTCAAGCTGGAATGTGTGGAAAGCGGCGCATGAGAAAAACGACGCCGACGCACACACATACGTGATCGTGAAAGGGAAAAGCAAAACCCGCCCGCGATGGCCGAGCATGCAAGACATGCGCCGTGACATGTGAAATACTGAAAAAAAGTAATATATCTTTACTTCCAAAACCCGGACGTGCCTCCACCGGCACGCCGCTTCCGACAGGGTGATGGAAGGTTCGACGCACCCCCGGACTGGGCAGAGAGGTCCCAACGTAAAGACGATGGGCTGTCCACCCCGCCCCCACTTGCCCTGACTACACAGGATAGCGTGCCCCGACAAACGGCGACACATAGCGGGGGACACTGCGCCGGGGGGTATGCCTAACTTTGGTGCTTTGTGTGGGTCGCGTTCCCATGGTAACGTAGCTGTGTGGCTGAAGCCCTCGTGCCGCTGGCTTGAGTGTGAAATACTGAATAAACGGGGACATAACTGACAATAGAACAACCTGTCATTCGCAGCAACCCGTCGGTACGGACATGCTGGTGCCCCGCCCGCCATAAAGGGCGGCCACGAGGGAATGCAGCATGGATGGAACGCGGCTGCCGCCTGGGCCCTCTCTCCCCCTCCCCCGCGCGGCCTCCTAGATACCCTCGAGCAGCTGCCGCTTGAGCTGCTGGATCTCTGCCTGCACCGCGTGCTCGTCCCGCACGAGCCCGTCCAAGCCGTGCGCCTCGAGCCGCGCGCTCGTCACAACCACCGGGTCCGCCTCGCCGAACGCGGAATCGCCGCCGCCGCCGCCGGCCGGCAGCCCGCGTCTCGAACGCTCGAGCTCCGCGCGCAGCGCCTGCACCTGCCGCAGCCGCGCCGCCTCGCCCTGCCGCAGCAGCTGCCGCTCCTTCGCCCACGCCCGCTTGGCCGCCTTGACCTTCGCGACGAGCGCCGCCTGCAGCGCGCCGCTCTCCGCCTTGACCCTCGCCAGCTCGCGGGTCGCAACCTCGAGCTGCATCCCCAGCTTGTCCTGCCGCCCCGCCGCCTCCGCCTCCGCCGCCTGCAGCGACATCGCCCGCGCCCTGCTCTCGGCCGCCTCCCTGCGCGCGCCCTCCACCTCGGCGGCGAGCGCCGCGTGCCGCGCCTCCGCCTCCTCCCACCTGCGCCGCTGCCTGCCCGCCTCGTCGACCGCAGCCTCCTTGGCGACCACCGCGCCGTGCAGCTCCGCCCGCAAGGTCGCCGCCTCGCCCACTGCCCCGGCGAGCTTGTCCCGCTCCGCCGCAACTTGCGCCGCGCCTACAGCCCGAGACGCAGCCGAGATGCAGCCGAGGCGCAGCCGAGATGCAGCCGCGAACGCCGCCGCGCCGCTCGAGTGCAACGCGGCGACCTCCTCCAGCGCCTCGGCGCGCTGCGCCTCGAGGCGGCGCGCCTTGCCCGCCGCCTACGCCACGCATCTCGCACACGTGACACATGTCGGCAGTCGCGTCCCGCTGCTTGCGCCTCGTCCGCCGCCTCATCACGTGCGCGGCTGAGCTCGAGCGACGCCTCTCGCTGCGCCGCCGCCGCCGCCGCCGCCGCCTCGTCTCGCGCGCGAAGCAGCGCCTCCTCGCGCCGGCCAGCCTAAGCCGCCGTCTCCACCACGTTAGAGACTGCATCTCCCACCGCCCTGCAGCGCCTCCTGCAGCGCCGCCTCCGCGTGGCGGCGCTCCATCTCGAGCTTGAGACGCTCGAGCTCGCGCACCGCGTCGGCAGAGCGGGCCTCCGCCGCCGCCTGCTCCGACGCGAGCGCGTGCTGCGCGTCGTCCACCGCCGCACGCCTCTCGCGCACCTCCGCCTCCAGCCTCAAGTGCGCCTGCGGGGCCGGGGGGCAGGGAGAGGAGGGCGGGAGGCTTGCTGGCGCGGGTCGACATCCGCCCGTCTCTTCGGCGCGAGGCCGCCTCGTGCAGCCGCTGGTTGGACAGGCGAGCCTCGTCGAGCTGGGAGCCGAGGTGGGCGATCCTCCTACCGAGCAGGCATCGAGGAGCTCGAGGACAGGGCCGAGCAGCCTGGCGGCAGAGGCGTGGCCGGCGCAGCCTCTCTAGCGACTCGCGCTCTGTCCGCGCCAACCACGCGGCCGCCTTGTCCTCGCCGCCGCGCCGCGCCTGCGACGCCTCGAGTGCGTCCCTCGCGCCGCGCAGCGCCTCATTCTCGGCGCGCAGGTCGGACACCTGGCCACGGGGAGAGTGAGGGGCGGAGGCAGCGTCAGAGGCTGAGGCTACGAAGCCCTCACTCACTCTCGGCAGGGCCACACCTCCTCCAGCAGCCGCTCGAGGCGGACCCGCCCCTCGGCGCTCTCGCGCTGCAGCTTGCGCAGCCGCTCCGCTGGCTCGAACCGCCCCGCGTCCTCCGCCAGCGCCAGGTCGAGCTTGGCGCGCGCCTCTGCCAGCGCCGTCTCGTGCGCCGCCTGCGCCTCGCGCGCTGCGGCGGCGTGCTCGAGCGCGGCGGCGTCGTGCGAGGCGCGGAGCCGGTCGGCGTCGCGCCGTGCGGCGGAGGCGTCGGAGCGAGCGCGCTGCAGCTCCGCCTCCAGATCGCTCGCGCGTGTGCGGTGCGGCGCCGCCGCCTCCTCGACGAGCCGGAGCCGCATCGCCTCGAGGTCGGCGGGAGGGATGAGTTGCTCGCGCAGCGACTCGAACTCGCGCGTCGCCGCGTCGAGCTGGGCCGACCACCGGTCGCGCTGCTCCCCGTGCTCAACCCGCGCCGCCTCCTTCTCCTGCTCCAGGCTCGCCACCCTCGCGTGCAGCACGTCGTGCGCCTCCTTTAGCCGGAGCGCCTCGGCGGAGAGCGAGTCCCACTGCTCGCGGAAGCTGGCACGCTCCTCCTCGCTCTGCGTCAGGACCTGCTCGATCCGCGCCTTGAGGGCGGCGTTCTCCTCGTCGAAACGCGGATCGGCCATCGAACGCTCAGAAAAAAAAGGCGGCGGCAGGATCCCGCTACCTTCCATCGGAAGAGCTGCGCCGAAAGGAGAGCGACGCGACATAGGAAGAAGCGACAAGGGAGAGCACGACGAGAAGGGGGCGACCGCGAGGTGGCACGAAGATCGCAGCGAGAATCGGAGAGAGACTGCGAAGAGAGACAGGAAGAGACGGACGCCCAAGGGTGGGCGACGGCTAGTGCACCACACCCCTCTGCTTAAAATCCCTGTGTGGTGGCGGCGTGCCGTCCTCCCATCCCTCCCTTGCGTTGTCCGTTTTCTTTCTTTCTTTCCTTATCGGAGCACTTGGAGCACTTGGAGTGCAGTCATCAACCGCACATCCAGGGCCGGGGAGCTAAGAAGCGCACCCAGCGGGCCGGATGATCGGCATCGGGCTACGGGCTAGAGAGCCCTGACCCCTAGGGGGGTGCGCGTTCGCAGGGAAAGGGCCGTAAAATAAACACGGGTCTCCGAGGGTTAGCTCCGCGCTCCGGGTTTCCCCTAGCAGCAGAACGCCCCATCTACTCGGAGCTACGAAGACCACCCCCGGCGCCTCAGGCCGCGCGCGTTTCTTCTTTTCGCCGAAGAGCCGAACTCATGCTGAGCGCTTTGCGAACCAGCGCGCGCAAGGCGCCGGCCCTGGCGCGCCTGGGCGTGCGCAACTTTGGGCACGACCCCGCGCACGCCGCGGGTACGCCCTCCTCCCTCCCCCGCGCCCTCCCTCCCCTCCCCTCTCCGCCCCACCGACCCCGCACTTTGCGACGCACAGCCGAGACTGACAAGTGGAAGAAGATCTCGTATGTCGCCAGGGGCGCGCGGGGGGGGGGGGGGTCAGACTGTGGTGTGGACAGAGAAGCGCGCCCCCCTCCCTGGAAGCGATGTGCGCCTGCTCTCGCTCACTGACAGCACCCCACCCCTACTCGAGTACCTAATCCAACCTCCGACACTAGTCGACAGACAAGTCACCCGACATCCTTTCAGGATCGTTCTCCTCGTGGACGTCAGACTCGAACTCCTAGTCGAACTCTGTCGCCGTCTAGTCGCCGTCTCCTTTTGCGGTGCCAGCACCGATCATGGCAACGTGGAGCTCGCTGCCGGACATAACCAAAGCCTCAAGGAACCGGCCAAGAACGTCCGAGTGAGGGTTGTCTGTCTTCTCCACAGCGACCCTGGACGCCATACCTCCCACCATTCCACCCGTTGGCAAACTTGCGTGCATCATCGAGGTTCACCTCTTTTTGCGTGTGTCAACGAACGCGCAACTTGCTCTGCAGAATCCAGACTGCATATCCAGGACTTCGACGCTGCACTTCATCCGGTCGTCGCCATCGCGCACGATCATGAGGGCCCCATGAAAACCGATCCCGTTGTCCACGCCAAATGAGGAAATATGAATCGGCGTCGTTAAGAGAAAACCGCGCTGCCCCCGAGAGGCGGCCGTCACTTGGCAGAATTTCTTCAAAGAAGTTGGCGTAGGTGTCCTTTTCGTTGTCGCCACTGAGGCCGAGAGAAGAAGGCCAGAGAACCAGCGATGTCACCACGGCGCAGAAGAGCACTGCGATGTCCGACCACTGCTTCCACGGTATGCCCATTGCGAGGCGCCTGCTCTCCGCGGTATGTCCCCGGCGCGAGTGCACCTACGATAGAGAGAAGCCGGGCGCTCCACTTTGGCTTGCCTCCTTCCTTTGGTTTTCCGTTCAAATGTGTCTCTTGAGCACTTGAGAGAGATGGGCCCAGGTAGCAGGCTCCACACCACCTGACTCGCGTCGTGCCACCTGACTCTCGCCTGGAGAGGCCTCTTAGCCGAGACACACGTGGCAATCGCCACGTGCGCCACCAGGGATTTCGGCCATTTTAGAGCCTTTTGCACAAAAATGCAGGTGGCTTCAGCCACTTGCTCCATGAGCAAAACAGTGCAAAAAACACCTGGAGCAGATGGCTTACGCCGCCTGTGGACATGGGCAAAACAGTGCAAAAAGCACCTGGAGCAGATGGCTTACGCCGCCTGTGGCCATGGGCAAAACAGTGCAAAAAGCACCTGGAGCAGATGGCTTACGCCGCCTGTGGCCATGGGCAAAACAGTGCAAAAAGCACCTGGAGTCGATTCCAAACGCCGCCTGTGGCCATGTGAGCGCTCGGGTGGCGCCAAGGGCTTCGGCCCCCTCCAAGCCACCTGCCCCCCCTCCCTCGCCACACGAGGAGGGCTGGAGCACGTGCGCCACCTGGGCCTGGTCAGGTGGCTCCAGGTGGGTTCGGCCCCTCCAAGCCACCTGCCCCGCCCCCCTCGCCACACGTGGAGGGCTGGAGCACGTGCGCCACCTGGGCCCGATGGGTGGGCAGGTGGCTCCAGGTGGCTTCGGCCCCTCCAAGCCACCTGCATGCCCCCCCTCGCCACACCTGGAGGGCCGGAGCACGTGCGCCACCTGGCGCAAGTTTGAATTCGGAAACGGAAAATCCGAGCCACGGAAGGGCTGGCCTGCCAAACGCGAGCCTCCCCGCTCCTCCCCGCGCTGCAAACTGGGACTGTGGGGTGTGACTGAGGGCCTGCGGCGGTCATCGGCGGCTACAATCAATGTCCGGCGTCGACATAAGCCTGGGGCTTCAACCCGGCCCGCGCGGGCGTTTGGTGTGGCTGCAAACGCCGCAGGAGCCGGTGGCTGCGCTGCTCACGCGCCGTTGCTGCCGACGCTGAGCAGTCTGACTCGTCAATGAGAAGACTGCCCGATAATACGCCATCTCTCGATCCCCGATAAACCAGGCCATGCAGAGCTTTGTCGGCCTCGCCGACCGTCGTGTGCTGGCTGCGCGGTAGAGTTGCGAGAGTGGATTGTGGAGGCGCGGCGGGGGCGACTCGTGGTGCCGAGGCGGTGTATAGTACATTCCTATTCAAAAGAACACGCACGATGAAATTCCCGAAGTGACGCCCAGGTGGCGCACGTGCTCCAGCCCTCCAGGTGTGGCGAGGGGGGGCATGCAGGTGGCTTGTGGAGGGGCCGAAGCCACCTGGAGCCACCTGCCCGGGCCCAGGTGGCGCACGTGCTCCAGCCCTCCAGGCAGGTATGGCGAGGGGGGGCAGGTGGCTTGGAGGGGGGCGAAGCCACCTGGCGCCACCCGAGCGCTCACATGGCCACAGGCGGCGTTTGGAATCTACTCCAGGTGCTTTTTGCACTGTTTGCCCATGGCCACAGGCGGCGTAAGCCATCTGCTCCAGGTGCTTTTTGCACGGTTTTGTCCATGGCCACAGGCGGCGTAAGCCATCTGCTCCAGGTGTTTTTTGGACTGTTTTGCTCATGGAGCAAGTGGCTGAAGCCACCTGCATTTTTGTGCAAAAGGCTGCAAAGGACTCGTGGCGCTTTCCGAATTCCGCTTTCCGCGTGTGTCTCGTGCAAAATCCGGCATTTTGTGGCTTTCAGGTGGCACGACGCGAGTCAGGTGGTGTGGAGCCTGCTGCCTGGGCCCATCTATGGCACTTGAGCACTTGATAGGGTCGATTCCGCATGGTACGGGACCCCTATGTGTCTCTCTTTTTTTCGTGCTCTTCACAGACCTTGTTATTGAAAAGAAATCCTTCCTATGGCGGCGCTGCGCGCTGGTCTATGAGCTCTCGAGGTGGTTCACAGCCTTGTTATTGAGAATTCACATTCATCGGATTATCGAATCTCACTCATCAAGTAAGGTAGGGTAAACTTCTCCACACACGAGATGGTGGGGCAAGGGGGAGCGACCCTCGCGTCTCCACGTCTAGACGACAGGAGCCCAACGGCAAGTGCAAGGCCCAGTGCGCGTGGGTGAGCGGTGGGGGGGGGGGGGGTTCACGTCACTGCATCCTCTGCCGCGGTTCCTCCCGTTGCCTCTTGAGCACTTGAGTAGTAACTTGAGCACTGGATAGGGTCGATTCCGCATGGTACGGGACCCCTCGATCGTCTCGCCCTCCCTCACTGGTGTGTTCATTGGGGGGGGGTCATAACAAACACGGTACAGGATCGAGGTGCACGCCACTGGGACCTTTTCATTTTCGGTTTTCTTTGAAAAAGTAAAAAGAACCCCTTCAAAGACTTTGAAAAAGAAAGGATTCAAAAAACGCTCCTCCTCGGACCGCCCATGCGCCATGCCGAGAGATTTTTATTAACCAAAAGAAATCACGACTCTCACAGTGATTTGGGCTTAGGTGTTGATCTGCTGTTTGCCTGTGTTTGGGTTTCTATGTTGCGATGTGGAAAAGCTTAAAGGCACCGTTCCCGCCGATTTTCTGCAAAAGGGTGTTCACGGAGAGAACATCTCTGGCAGCTCCCACGGCCGAAATATGTTCGCGGGCGTCACAGGGGCTGGGCGCCGAGGACGAGCTTTTCGGGGTCGGTCTTCGCATGCCTGCGCTCCGTACGCACCAGCTGCCGAGGGGCGCGCACTTCCCGCCTCAAGTACCGCTCGACGAGTCGAGTTATTGGCCGGCGACCGCTGCTGCGACTGGGCGACGCGCCTGTCACGGGGGCTGGGCGCCGAGGGCGAGCTTGCCTGGGGCGCTCTCCGCGCGCACGGGTTCGCCCGCGGCAGCTGCTGAGGGGCGCGCCATGCTCCTCTCGATGATCGACCGACGAACCGATATCTTGGCCGGCTACCGCTGCTGCCGTGGGATGGCGCGCCTGCAGGAGGGGCTGGGTGTCCAGGACAAGCTCGCGGGGCGGGCTCTCCGCGACGATCAGCTTCGTGCGTGTTGGGCCCCGACGCGTGCGCTCTTCCAGAGCCGCGCGGCCGTCAGCCGCTGCCGGGGGCGCGAGTGCGCGTTTGAGCAGAGGGCTCCGCCGCCTGCTGTCTTCATGTCCGGGCGCCGACCGTCGCCTCTGATGTTTGGGTCGCGTGCGGGTGGCCAGCGACGCCGCTGCTCGCGCGTGTCGGCACGATGCGGCTCCGTTGGCCTGACATGCACCCCGGAAAATGCGACACCGCCAAACGCCGCACCGGGGGCGGCCCCCCTCGGCCTCGCCCCTCGCCCTCTCCGACGGTGTGCGTTGTGGCTCTGCACTGAAGAGCTGATTATGTGCGCGACAGTACGAGAAAAATCACCGCCCAAACAGCGCGCGTAATGTGGGGGGTTGTGTGCGGGTTGTGTCTGGGAGGTGGGGTCTGGGGAGTGGGTTGCTCACCCACGGCACCGGGCCGCGGCCGGTGCTTGCACTTTGAATGCCGTGGGGCTCCTGCCCGTGTCCCGGGCGTGGAGATGCGAGGGTCGCCCCCCTGACTGTCGAGACGCAGCTGATATGTCCCAAGCCTACCCCTAATTCTTGGTATCGCCGAGAAGCCGAAGTCCTATGCTGAGCGCTTTGCGAACCAGCGCGCGCAAGGCGCCGGCCCTGGCGCGCCTGGGCGTGCGCAACTTTGGGCACGACCCCGCGCACGCCGCGGGTACGCCCTCCTCCCTCCCCCGCGCCCTCCCTCCCCTCCCCTCTCCGCCCCACCGACCCCGCACTTTGCGACGCACAGCCGAGACTGACAAGTGGAAGAAGATCTCGTATGTCGCCATTCCATGCGTGGTCGGTTACACGTGCTTCGTCATGGCCACAATGAAGCACGGCCACCACGAGGAGGTGCGTGCACACCCACCCCTTTGTCCCACTGCCGACGGCTCCCTACCCGGTCCGGTGCCTCCGTGCGCACACCTAGTGGGTTGAGCTGCTGACGACTGCGCAGGTCGCGTACCAGTACATTGGCATCCGCAACAAGCCGCTGCCGTGGACGGTGCATGTCGGCCCATGGCCACCGGTCGCATGCCGGTTCTCACCCCCCCCCTCTCCCCTTTCAGAACCGGGGCGGCTCCAAGTGCGACCTCTTCGACTACAAGTGCGCCGCCAAGGAGAAGGCCGCCGCTGCCGCGGAGTGAGCGGGCTGTCTTAGGTTTGTGGTTGCAGCTGTGCTGTGGGACGAGGCCCCGGCCAATCACAGAGGCCTCGCCTCGAGTCTGTCTCCAGTTGTGTGGCAGCCGTGCGTGCGCAGTCATCGGAAAAGGTAGTTACTACCAAGGCGATGTCAGGTACAGAGGGATCTAGCCGTAGCGCGCGTCGTGCGAACGGGGCGCGCACGCACATAAGTGAGCGCCGCACCCGGCACCCCGCACCGCGGCGCGTGCGCCACTGCACGGTGGCTCTCGAGCGGTCTCCCACGCGCGCCCACTGCGCAACTCCCTCCCCGCCCCCCACCCTCCCCTTCCCCCTTCCCCCACTGCCGCCCGTCCGCCCTAGACCATAAACCAACGACGCGGCTCCTCGTGGCCGTGACGCGCGCTGGGAAGAGCGGCGTCCCTCGCGCCGCTCGCCACGACCACCCTCCGTGTAGGCCGCCACTGCCGCCCGCCTCCGCGCCTCTGCCCGCGCCTCTGCCGGCCTGCGTCGCCTCGTGTCGGTTGGCGGGTGAGTTGGCGTCCCGTGGTGGCCACGAGTCAGATGGCGGACGAGGAGCCGAGCCAGACGCGCAAGCCGGCGGAGGCCGCGAGCACGATCACGAGTCCGACGAGTGCCTGAGGTCGCCGCCCGCGCCGTCACCACCCCCGCGAACCGAGCCCGGGCGGGCGGGGAGGAGGGCGGAGAGGGGGAGGGCAGAGAGGGGGCGGAGGGGAGAGAGCAGAGAGGCGCGTGCCGGCAACATCGCCGACGGGAGAGGGCGCGGCTGCGGCGGCGGCTCGGCGCCCGCCCGGACGCGCAGCTCGTGCAGCGGCGCCCACCCGCGCGAGGGCAAGCCGACGTGCCACACGCCCTCCTCCCCGATCGCCTACGCGCAAGTGCGGCGGTCTGCAGTCCCCGGCCGAGAGGGCCCCCACGCCGCGGCACGCCTCGCCTCGGGGCAGGCGGCGCTGTCGGCGACGAAGAGAGCGGCGGTCTGGGAGCCTGCGGGGCGCGCGTCGCGTGTCATCGGGACGTGTCCTGGACATGTCTCCCCCTCCTTCCCCCGCCGGCGGCGCCAAGGTACTGGATGTGACCGAAGTGCCAGAAGCCGGCGGTGAACCAGAGCACGCGGCTGCTCGAGCCGCGGCGGCAGTAGACGTGCCTCCCGCCGACCTGCACTCGCAACACCACAACCGCGGGGTCGGCGGCGGGGGGCGGCGTGAGGACGTGGCGAGCGGGCGTGCCGCGCGGGCCTGCACCCGGTCCAGCCTGTCGTACGACCCGAGCCAGCGCCGTGCGACCGACCTGCGGAGGGACCTGCGGGCGTGAGAAGAGGGGCGGAAGCGCTGTCCCGCTGCGCAGCGTCGGCGAGTCGCGCGCCAAGTGACGGTCCACCCGTGCCGCTGCCGGCGCGGCTGCCCCTCTAACCGGACCACCTGCAGACCGACGGCGAGGGGTGGGGTGGGAAGAGGGCGCGGGGGTGGGGCGGGGAGAGGGGGCGGGAGGGGGGAGGGGAGCGGGGCGGGGCAGAGGGCAAGGGACTCACCGGCGCCGCTTCGGCGAGTTGTCTCGCCCAAACCTACTCGCACGGAGAAGCGGCGTGTCGACCCCCAGCCCCTCCCCTCGCCCCCTTCCACAACCTCCGGCCCCCCCTGGCGCACCTCCGCCTCCTCGCTCCCGCTCGCCTCCGCCTCCGCCTCCGCCTCCGCCTCGTCGCCGCTCAAGCCGCCACTCCCGCCGCCGCCCTCCTCGCCCTCGTCCGGCTCAGCCTCGTCCGGCTCGCACCGCAGGCCGGGCGCCGGCACGAACCCACTACCCCGCGGCCCCGCCACTTGCCACTCGCCCACAATGTGCTCCGGTGCGCCCGCAGAGTCGGCGACGATCAGAAAGCCGGTCTGCCGGCCGAGGTCGGCGGCGCGGCCAGCGTGCCAGAAGCCGTTGCGCGCGAACCAGAGCATCTTGTCCGGATCGCCCTGCTTCGCAAACGCGAACCGGCCCGCGAGCAGCGGTAGGTCGTCGCGCCGCACGTACCGGCCCGTGAAGGCGGCACGTGCGGGGTGGCCGGTTGCCCCGCGCAGCCGGACAGCGGTGGCCTGCGGGAGGGCGGAGAGGGCGCGCTCGGCGGGCCGTCGGGAGGGGAGGGCGCGCCTCTCCATGCGGGGCTGTGGGCCAGCTCGAGAGTGCCGCACCCTCCCCCTTAAGTTCCCCCCCCCCCCCCCCCCCCACACCCCCTTGGCTGTCTGCATCTGGCCGGCTGCCTGGGCGCGGAGCAGCAGCAGTGCCTCGCCGCCGGCGCCGCCCGGATCGCGGTCCTCGTCGGCAGCGAAGGCCTCGGCCGCCTCGGCCGCCCGCCGCACGGCGGCGAGGTGCGCGATCTCGGACGCCAGCCGGTCGAGCTCCGCAGGAGACGAGGTTGGGCCAGGCTCGCGGCTCGTCCACCCCTCCGGCGTGTGGCCTGGGTGGGCGGCGAGCCACGCGGCAACCTGCTCTCGCACGTGCAGCGCCGGCTCCATCCGTGCAGACGCCAACGACTCGCCGCCGAAGAAGGAGGCGAGAGGCCGCCGCCGCCAAAACGCCAGAAGCGCGTCCCTTTCGTACACGCGGGGCTCGTCGGTGGGAATCACCGGGTCGCGAAACATGGTGTAGCAAATTGGACACGTCAATTCGTCCGGCTCCGCATCGTCGAGCGGGGCTGCGACCGGCTCGTGAGGCAGAGCGATCATGCCGCCGGCCAATGCGCCGTGCAGCGAGGAGTAGCGCCCTCTTTCGCGGGAGATGAGCGGCCGCTTTGAGGTTGCCGAAATACGATTTCTTTTTTACAAAACTTGCCGCCTCTCTTGATCCCTTCTGATGCCCTACCCTAGGCCACACACACACACCTGGGCCTTGCCTGGGGTTTTAGGGGCCGGGCAGGGTTTGCCGTCCCAGTAAATAAATAAGTGGAGCGGGCATCTCCAGGACCAGGTCCAGCCAGGCAAGGGAGATGGGCGACGCACGACACAGCAGGGTACACAGCGAGGTAAAATTCTGTCGGCGCGACAGCGGACGAGCAGGCGCGGACGCTCAAAAGCGCCTGATGACAACCACATTCGAGACGGCGACTTCCACGTCGTCGGACGTCGCCGTCCGCGACATCGTCAGCCGGCCTGAGCTCAATCAACGGCGAACGGCCGCAGTGACCGGGTCACGAAGACTGGTCCAGATCGCTGCCCCAGGTGTGAAGGTCGAGGACAGCCATGCGCCTTCGGAGCGGCGCGTTCCGGGGGGGAGAAGCGAGATGTGTCTCAAAGTTACAAAGAGCTTGCCCGCAACCCGTCCCCGAGCATCCGGCCCGCTGGGTGCGCTTCTTAGCTCTCCGGCGGCCCTGGGTGTGAGGTTGATGACTGCACTCCAAGTGCTCCAAGTCTCTCGATCGAGCATTCGTCGCGTAAGGGCTATAAAGGCGGCTTAAAGCGCGCGGCTCTCTCTCGTGCCGCACGGCTTCAACACTGTAAGTCGTGTAGTGTGTTGCTCCTTCACACCCCTCTGCGCCCTGGGGCGTCGCGCGCACGTGTACACACACGTACCCCGTCCCCGGTACCCCCCCCCTCTTCCTTGGTCGCTCGTGTTTTCTTTCTTTCTTCAAACAGCTTGACGCGCCGGTAACGCGAGAAGCTCTCGATCGGACATGCAAGGAGCAAGCTCTCAAGCGTACCCAAATTTGCCCCTCTCGAACCAGTCCTCGGCATCACCATTGAATTCGTCGGCAGCCTCCTTCTTGCCATAGCTCGAATTCTCCGCACGCATCAAGTGCGGCACGCAGTAATTCGAAGAGATGCTGTTGGCCATGATGAGGACCTCGATATCGCCCTCCTTGGTTGTGATCGTCTCGGCAACCATCGGGCCGCCGACCGCCTCAGGGTCGGCCACCTCGAACGTTTGTCCTGGCTTCACCTTGCGAACGAGAGCGCCGTGGAACCCCCCGCACATGCTCTGCCCGTGGGCATTCGAGAAAAAAGCGTCGGCGCCGAAGACGGCATCGTCTGACGCGGCGCAAAGTGCCACTTCACCTTTGCTGCCGCGCGCGACAAGCGCGTCCCACTTCATCGAGTGGCCGGGAAAGCAGTCGCCCGTGTTGCTCGGCTCCTCGGATAAGCCGGCGAGGCTAGCCTCGCCGTCGCCCCAGCAAAAGAGACTGAGGAACGGGCCGCTACAGCCGGAAGCGTAGCCGAGGTTCCACTTGCCCCCGGGAGCTGGTGGCCCGATCGCGATCGTGTTGAACCGCACTCCACCCTTATGGAGCAAGGGCAGCACCGCACCGCCTGCACCGAACTGTTTTGGCCACGCGCGCGAGCCCAACTTGCTGTACTCGTAATGGTTCTCCTCGAGCAGTGTGTCGACGGTGGCGGCGGAAACTTTTTCTGCAGCTGGGGAGGCCTTGCCCTTGGCCTTGGCTTTGCCGTTGTCCGCGGCCTTCTTCTCCTCTTTCTTCACCTTCATCGCCGGTGCGGCAGCTTTTGCCTGCGGCGCAGGCTTCTTGGCCTTCTTCTCCTCTTTCTTCACCTTCATCACCGGTGCAGCGGCTTTTGCCTGCGGCGCAGGCTTCTTGGCCTTCTTCTCCTCTTTCTTCACCTTCATCGCCGGTGCAGCGGCTTTTGCCTGCTGCGAAGGCTTCTTGGCTGCAGTATTGGCCGTCTCGATGACGTCCGCTGCGGCCCCTTGCTCAGACTTGCGCTTGCGTGATTTGTCCCACCGCAACTGGCCATTTGCTTCCTCGTTAACAAGGCAGTGGGCCTTCTGATCGCCATCATCGTACGTGATCAAGTGCGTCTCGTCATATGGCCGCCATTCTGTAACGCGGCCGGCGAACCACGGCTTGCCACGCTCTCCTGTCCACCGGATTGAGAGGCGGCTGCCGACGATCTCCGCGCCGTACGGCATGTGAGATGTGTGGACTGTGCTGCGCGTGGCGCAAACGCGGTGTGGACAGTGCTGCGTGCGGCGCACGTACGCGAGGTGCTGCGCGCGGCGCAAACGCGGAGTCGTTACTTGGTTGTCGCAAGTTTGAGTGCCCCCGGGGGGGGGGGGTCGTCGCTAACCGTCGAACCTGTGCCCCATCCCTCCCCTGTCTGTTTTCTCGCTTTCTCACTTGGTGCCTCTCTATCTGTCTATCCCCTCTCTCGCAACCCCCATCGCCCCCCCCCCCTTCCCCCAACCATGGCGCCAGCGCCCAGCGGCAGCGCGCGGGAGGGTTGTTGCGCGCGCGCGGGCCAAGCTGCTCCATGACTCTAGTTCTCGACCAGGTCCCCGCCCCGCGCCCGCAGGATCTCGCGGATGAGGCCCACCTCCGCCGTGTGCGCGTGCAGCGCCCGCGGGAAGTCCTCGGCGTCCTCGTGCTCGGCGCCGCGCACGACCAGCAGAGTGTCGAGCATGGGCATCGCCCTCACAAACTGCAGCAGGGTGGCGCGGTCGCAGCCGTGCACGCTATAGACGAGCTCGAAGCGGCGGAGGCCGGGCAGGAGGGCGAGCATTGCGCGGAGGACGTCGTCGTTGAACGAGTCGACGTTGGCCAGCGTCAGCGCCTCGAGTGCGGGCTGCGCCCGGAATGCGGCAATCAGCTCGCGGCTGCCGTTGAGCTCCTCCCCGCCGCCGAGGTTGAGGCGGCGCAGCGGTGAGCAGGCCGCCACCAGCCCGCAGATGCCGCGGATCCCGAGCACCTCGGGCGGCCGCGGCATCGGGATGCGGGATGGCCGCACGCCTCCCTCCTGCACCTGCGACCCCCACAAGTCAACCTCGGCAAGGCTGGGGCAAGCGCGTAGGAATGCGACGGCGTCGTGCTTCGGGAGGGAGTAGCAGGACCGCAGCGATAGGCGACGCAGGCGAGGCAGCGGCGGCAGGCTCGGCCCGAGGCTGCAGTCTTGGAAGATGTGCATGCAAAAGTCGATGATTCGCAGGCTTTCGAGCGCAGGCATCAGCTGGAGCAGCCGGGCGATGTCGGCGAACGTGACCGGGTGGGCCGTGAGTGGGTGGATCGACAGGTCGCCACGGTGCTCCTCGAACTCGAGCCGCCGGACGAATGGGCCAAAGAGCCTCGCCCAGGCATGGACATTTGCGGAAGGCACGTCACGGAAGAAGACCTTCTTGTCCTCAGATGGTCCAAAGGCCTCGAGCACATCCCGGCGGCCCAGTAGCTCGCGCCAGCGCCGGTCGACGCCTCGCAAACGCAGGAGGTGGACTGGCTCGACTTCCGAGAGGAAGCCGAGGACGAGGGCGAGCAACTCGTCGGCCAGGTCTCCGAGGCAGCAGGGCTGGATGTGCAACATCATTCAGTGCGCCACTCGCGGTGCCGCCTGAGATTTACCAGTGCTGACGGAGTGCGGGAGGCCAGAGGCGAAGGAACCGCGAAATATTGGAAAGGCGCTAAACGGACGACGGAGAGGCGGGCACTTCGGACCGAACTTGTGCCCGCCGGTAGGCCGGCGTTGAATTCTTTTCGGAGCCGTGGTAAAATTCTTTTTGGGGCGGCAGCCCGTGCCTTCCGGTGTGCCCAATCGTACCGCGTCCTGTGCCCTATAAACCATTCGATTCTTCTTTCCAGAAAGAAAGAAAGAATAAAACAGACAACCCAAGGGAGGGATGGGAGAACGGCACGCCGCCACCACACAGGGATGTTAAGGAGAGGAGTGTGATGCGCTAGCCGTCGCTTTCCAATAAATCCTGGCTATTCCGCCGCGATTTCTTCCTGCTTCGCGCGTTCCTCTTCGCGTCGTTGCCGCTTGCCAGCCTCTGCTGTGTGATGGAGAGTGGCGGCGTGACGGCCTTGTACCAGTTCGCTGCGCACGCGCGAGCCGAGGCGCGGGCCGCCGAGGCGGCGCGCGACGATGACGACGCCTCCTCGGCCGACCTGCCGTGCGGGCTCAGCGTGCAGCAAGTCCTCCGGCAGTTCAAGGCGCTTCCCGCTGCCGAGGAGCGCGCCTGGCAAGCCAAGGCGGTGGCGGAGCAGCGGCGCTTTCTGGCGGAGTGCACCGCAGCGCTCGAGGCGGATCCCGACGCGGAGGTCCGCTACCAGTGCGAGGCGCCGCCAGGCATCACCACAGATGACACCGCCACCGCGTTTCCCAACGCAGCGATGCGCCGTATCATCAATCTCGCCGAGGACGGGAGCGGGGCGCGCCACTCCGCCGACGCGCTCTTCATCACGGCCAAGGCGGCGGAGCTCTTCATGACGCGCCGCCTGTGGGACGCCCGCGCGGTCTGCGTCGGCGCGAAGCGAAGCAAGATCCTACCCGGCGACCTGCTGCAGGCGATGCGCGAGGCACCGAACCGCGCGCCGCTGCAACACCTGCTCGATGAGTTCGAGCCCCCGCGCGACGATGCCCCCAAGCCCAAGCCCAAGCCCAAGCCCAAGCGGCCCGCGTGGGAGAAGCGGACGGCAAAGGAGTTTGAGGCGGTCATCGAGGGCTGCGGCAAGGCGGCCGGCGGCAGCCAGTCTCGTGGCCGGGGACGGAAGGGTGAGCAGGCGACGGCAGACGCGACGGCCAAGCGCGGGCGCAGCCGGGCGCAGGGGGGGGCGGCCGAGGAAGAGGAGCTGGCTGCCAAGGCGGCTCGGCCCTCGAGCCGCAACTCTGCGAGGGCGGCGGCCTGAGAGGCCGGATGGACGAGTCCAGATCCGTCATTCCTGATGGAGGCGATGGCGGCTCGAGGCGGGCCGCCCGCGCAGAGTGCGCTGCAACGCTAATTAAGCGGATCGTGACGGCTCTGTGGGCACTCAATACGTAGCGCATAAAGCAAAGACCAAAGTAAAAAAGGACGCTCAAACAGCCGAGCAGTCACGAGCACACCCCGGTCACCGCACAAGGTGACACCGGTGACAGCACACTCCGCTCAGTCGCAGACCTCAACAGTTCCTTTACGTTATAATATCGTATTGCGAACCGCAGTACCGCACCGGCACAAGGTCACAGCGTCAGCGAAACCATATATGTGACGAGAAGCACGACATAAGGCAGCCGGCTTTTCTTTTTGATGTGCCGATGTGTGTTGCGGAAGGAACCCACAAACAACCCTTCGGCGTCGCTCCTCATCGCAAACCCCGTCAGCAGTCCACATCCGGGTCTGTTTGTTCTACATATACGCTGCATTGATGGGAAGGCGAAACACAGTCCGACCAACGACTGGGACAGTGGGACACCAACGGCCAACGCGGTATGGGTGGACGCAGGACGGGCGATGACGGCGGACTCGGGGCCGGTGCTTTGACGCAGCACAGTGTGCTTCGTGGTAGCATGAACTCAGAACGGCCCCCCGAGAGCGCCCCGGCTGGCGGCGCCCGCTCCAAGCCGCGAAATCTGAGGTCGCCCCGCCCGCCTGCGCCCCCGCGACGGCCCCGCAGCGGCCGGGCCGGCTGCCTTGGTGGGCGGGGCACCTCCCGCTGCCGCGTCGCGGCCGCGGACGCGCTCGGAAGCACACCGCGGGCCTCTGCCGCGCGCCTCGAAAGCGTCGCCGCTCTCGACGCGCGGAAGAGCCGGTCCCATGCGTCGGTCCGAGCGTCACGCACCCCCGTGCTCGGTCGCAGGCACCTACTCGACGGTCGACGAGCTCGCCGGCATGTCGCCCGCGCGATACGCCACTCCTGATCCCGATGACGACGGCTACGACGAGGACGTGCCCGCGCCGGCAGCCCCTGCCGCCGACGACGATGCCGCGCCGGCCGACGAGCCTGTGGTCGGCGACGCCGACGGCGGCGGCGGCGGCAGCATGGGCAAGGCGCGGCGCTGGGCCAAGGTCTTGCCCGACCCAACGTGCTGCCCCGCGCTCCCGCTGCTTCTGCTCGCGCTCATCGGCACGGTCGCCTCCGTGTTTGTTCTCGCGTCCGTTCGCGGCGCTGCTGCAGTGTGGACCAGCCACTCCATTGACGCTGCTGCTGGCGCCTCGACCCGAGGCGCAGTCAAGGACAGGAGCAGCGGCGAGAGGCAGCGAAGCAGTGGCACGGACGCAGCGAGCGCGCAGAGGCAGAGCACGAGTAGTCGAGCAGGAGAGGCGGCCGCACGTGCGAGCACGAGCACTCGTGTGCGGGACCACGTTGGTCGCATGTCGAGCTCACCTCGCCTCGGGCCTTCGGCTCGGACACAGTTTTGTAGAGAAACGCGAAAAACGGCCGGGTACCAAGTTGGCAAGTACCCCTTCAACCCCTGTCCCATTCGCCTCTCTGATATGCCAGGACAAGACGGGTACGGAGCCCGCACTGAAGGGGCTACTAGCCTCTCTCGACTAGGCTTTTCTTTTGACTACGCCGCCCTCCCCCCCCCCCCACACACGTACACGTTAGAGCTAAAAGAGCCTGGCGTCGGTGCTAGGCTGTGGCTCACGCGACACTGCCCCCGGACGTGATCGGATAGTGTGAGGCGCAAGCGGCTGTTGAGGGCGATGTTTGCAACCTAACGGAGGCGAGTGTAGCGGTGCGCTGTGCCGGCGCCGGTGCTGATGTGACTACTCCAAGAGACCGTGTCGATTGAAGACTACTCATGACAGAGTGAGAGAGTGTATGCGCGGGTGGACGTGGGCGAGAGGCGTGATGTGGGATGGCGCACCGGTCGCGGTGGTGCGGACGCCGCGCAGCCGTGAAGTGCTCGATGAGTGGGCCGCCGGGACAGAGCCACACCTGCGCAGGCAGCAAAGGTGGGCGGCGTGAGCGCGCGCGGTGCCGCGCTCCACGGTGTGCGAGAGTGCCGGGCCGGGCGTGCCCCCATCAGCGACGGAAGCGCCAAGCCGGCACAAAGCTCCGACACGGGCGTCTGCTGGTTGCGCGTTTCGACGAGCGGGCCCGAGCGAGGCCGCAGAGGAGGAAGAACGTCGGTCGTGCGAGCGCTGAGGACAAACGGACGGCTGAGTGAGGGACGGCAGTCATAGCGGCAATAGTCGGTGTGCGGCGGCGGTCGCTCGGGGGCGGAGGCCGGCGGCAGGGAGAGAATCGGGCGAGAGCACGGAGCACGCCTGCCGTCGAGTGAGAGCAGACATCTACAGAGAGCACGTGCGGCCGCGCCGGGCCGCCGAGAGGCGCACCTGGCGCAACTCGAGCGTAAGTGACCGTGGCGGCAGCCGCTCGGCGCTCGAGGCGACCATCCGACCGCCGGGCGTGCCTCTGGCGCCGACTCGGCGCCGTCGGCGACCCCGCGCGGGCCAGAGTCATGTCGAGCCGGGGCTGAGTCGGCGGTGGCGGACGCTTGGGTGCACGCTCCGGGAGGCTGCCGGGTCGGTTCGGCCTTTCGGGTGCCGATGCAGCGCCGGCGAGGCGTCTTTCGTGGCAGAAATCGCGCCACTGAGGCCGACTCAAGTTGCACGCCCAGGCCAGCCGGTTCGACGCCCACGGGTCCCGGGGCGTCGGATGGGTTGCGAGAGGGCCCCGGCTATTTTTCGTTTGAATCCCGGAGGCCGTTCGAACATGAATTGACGTTCCACGTGCCCGTCCACACACAGCACGGACAACTACATGCTAGCCCAGCAGGCCGCTCCCACCGCCGCCCGCGGCGGAGGCAAGGCGGCAAAGGGTGGCAAGGGCGGCGGCAAGGGCGGTGGCAAGGGTGGTGGCCGTTGCGCACCAGACCCGCTTTGCGCCGCCGCCCTCAACGCCCGATATACTCGGTTAGAGCCGGCGGAGCGACGGCGGCAGAGGTGCGGCCGCCGGCGACCTCACACGGTGTCGAGCGCCGTAGAGACGGCCCCGAGAGCCGTCACCAGGTGTGCCACGACCGCGGCCGCGAGGCTCGTGGCGATGGATGCGCCAGACCCGCTTTGCGCCGCCGCCCTCAACGCCCGATACTCGATCAGAGCCGGCGGAGCGACGGCGGCGGAGTTGCGGCCGCCGGCGACCTTCCCCTCGACCACGCCGCCGACCCGTCGACAAGCACGTGCGGACTGCCATCGAGAAGAAGGAGAAGGAGCGTGGCGCATCCGGAGCCCGCGGGCGCGGCGTGGGCGGGCGCGGGCGCGGGCGGGCGCGCGGGAACCCCGCCAGCGGAGGCGACACAATGCCTCTGGCGGCTCTGCAGGCGGCGCGCGGCGCGCCCCTCGCCGGTCTCCCGCACGCTCCTGAGGGCCGAGAGGGCCGAGAGGCGGGGTTGGTGACCCGGGGGCATGTGCGGTGCGGCCCGCGCCGCGCGCGGGCGCGTGGCAGCCCGTGAGTGCCGAGATCGGGTCTGTGCTTCGACGTAGCATGGGCCCCCGGAGGCCCATCTACAGCAGCGGCGAAGTGAGCGTGTTTGTGGTGTTGGTGTGACGTCTGAGCTTGGATCTGTGACTAAAGCCGCTTACCACTGATGGATCCCCACCCGAAAAACACACAGTGAGCGCCCCAGCACTTCACTACGCCCTCCGCGCGAAATCGCTAGTGGTGCTTTGTGGCAGCACATTGTGCTTTGTGGCAGCACGGGTGCGGTGCCCGAGACCGACGGTCACACACAGGAGCGACACACACAATCTCTCTCTTATACGCTAGAGAGCACAACCCCCTCTCCCTTTTCTCCCAGTAAGCTCTACGTACGTGCGCTATATGACAACCTGAGATGCCCGCGCGTTTCGAGATGGCAAACGTAAACTCGGGATGCGTGATATCATGGGCAGAATACCGGGCGCTCCGGGTGGCAAGCAAGGCGCCCAGCAACTGCCGTGCGCGCAAAGCGCCCCAGCTACCGCGTGCCCATGTTCTTCGACTCGTGGGAGTCTGCGGTCGACCGGGGCAGGTCCTACAAGCGGCAGCGCGACGAGGCCGCAGACCTCATCTCGGGGCCCTGCTGGCTCAAGACCAACGTGGTGAAGGCGTGGCGCGAGGGCCGATTCACCGACGCGCTCGTGGTGGTCGAGGGCAAGGAGTACGCGGTGCACCGCGCCGTACTCGCTGGCGCATCCAAGTTCTTCGACCGCGCCTTCAGCGGCTCGTTCTCCGAGGCGGCGGACGCGGTTATTCGGCTCAACATGCCGGCCGCCGCCTGGGAGGCTGCGGCCGACTACATCTACACCTCGGCCGTGCAGATCGACCAGGCCTCGCTCGTGCCGCTCCTCGAGGTGGCCCGCTTCCTCGAGCTCCCCTCTCTCGAGGGCCTCCTCGTCGATCGCATCGCCGACGGAGTGTCTCCCGACACCTTTGACACCGCGTGGGATGCGGCAGGCCGGCTGAACCTGAAGCCGCTGGAGAAGAAGCTGGCGACGATGGTCGCGACGTGCATGGAGAACGTCCGCGCCTTTGCCATCGCTCGCGACATGTCGTCCCTGCCCGAGCCCGTAAGGGCGGCGCTGTGCGGCGAGGCCTCGATGCAGCTCCGAGTCAAGTACATCCGGATCTGCATGCCCAGGGATGGCTCCGCCTCTGGCTCCAAGCTGGCCGTCTGCCGCCGGACCTTCGCTCTGCTGGGCGGCACGGAGGACGTCGACGACTTGTCGATGGATATTGATAAGCAGGCCAAGGTCTCCCTCCGCTTCACGGCACCGCCCGAGGCGTGCATCGGCTACCAACGCTTCCAGTATGACTACCAGACGCTGGTTCTGCCCATCGCGGCGGGCAAGGTGCTGCCTGCCTGGGGCGAGGCCGCGCCTCTCAAAGTGAGCCGTCACATCCGCCTGCCGGTGGAGTGGACCATCTTCAGCGTGCGCATCGGAGACGGGGACTACCCAAAGACGGTGCACGCCTGGCCCGGCGGCCCGACGCTGCAACTCTACAAGCTCGTTGTGACGCTCAAGGAGGGCATCACTGGCCGCATGGGAGACCGGGTCGTCGCACGCGACTTCGACTTCGTCACCGGAGATGCGCTAGTGCCGCTGTGGGGCCTGCTCGGGCCTCGGGCGGTGCTGGAGGTGCGCACCGATGCCGACCCGGCCACGGAGCTTCGCGGACTGTGGCTCCCGCCAGACGGGATCGGCATGAAGACGCTCGCACCAGCATGACCGCGCTCTGCCCTCGACACGACGGACCCCCCCCCCCCCCCCGCTCTCACACTTCTCTCTGCCAACGGGGGCCTCTTTCCATGCATTTGCTCCGCGCTCGACCTCGAGCCATCTCACTCTAGTTAGACTTGGAGACTCGTCTGCGTCTGCAGGGGCGTGGCTGCCTCTTTCTTTGTGCCGCACGAAACTCTCGTCCGTCGGAGTCTCCGTCCCTTCTCTCGTCCCTCTCCCCATGTGCCACGTGAATGAAGGACGGGACTCTCGCGGGCCGGCGCCCAGAGGGGCAAGAGCCGCAGAGTAAGAGAGGCACAGCCGATTTGGGGATCGTTTCGTTTTTCTCCTTTTACAGCGGTTTCCGGGTGTTTGCGGTCCGGTCCCTCTCCGCCCGTCGCGTCCCCGCGCGCAACTTCTCTACACCACACACACAATTGGACTTTACCTCACGGCGGGCATCAGCCACACGTTCACACAACTCCCTACTCGGCGCCACGTTCCAACAAACGCCAATGACAATATCTGTCTCACGAGAGTACTGCATATCACCCCCTCACCTCAGCGCGGGATTGGCTGCCGCTCTAGCGGCCGCGCCGGCCTTCGTGCTCCAGAAGGGCGTGCCATCCGGCAGGAGCACGTCCGACTTGTCCTTGCGCCGCGTCGGCTCGACGTAGAGCAGGCCCAGCTGGTCGAAGATGTCGCGCTCCTCGGGACAGCGCAGCGGCGCGAGGTTGGGCGGGCGGGGCGCCCGCGTGGGGTGGTTTGGAGGCAGCTTGAAGAGGCCGTCCGAGGAGAGGTAGTAGCCGAGCTCGCGCGCGGCGCGCGAGAGGAAGCGGTTGAACTGCGCGCTGCCGGTAAAGTGGATGATGGCGGCGGAGATGGTGGCGGAGGGATAGACCTTGATGTCGATGCGGCGGTGCTGCGTGTCTGGCCCGAGCCGCACGATGCCCATGTGCGTGGTGTGCGTGCCGTCCGGGTTGCCGAAGCCGCCCATGCCGGTCAGCTCGTGCACGAGGTAGCCCGATGCCTGGGGAGATAGGGGGAGATAGGGGGAGATAGGGGGAGAGTGCACGAGGTAGCCCGACGCCTTTGTGCAGTCGTGCATTGGTGACAGAGAGGCTGTGATTTGTGACAGGTGACAGAGAGGCTGTGATTTGTGGCACGGCGAGGCGTGGAGGTCGGAGGGTCAAGCAGCCGGGCGCGAGTGCGCGTGCGAGGCGGCGTGCCGGGAGAGCGAGAGAGGGGACGGCCTCGTGTGTCGCGGAGAGGGGGAGCTGTCTCGGAAGTGTCGCCTTGAGGACGGGCAGCAGCAGCTCGATGACCCGAGTGTAGTCGTCCCGCGAGAGCGGGTCGCTCGACTCCGACTCGGCGCTCGACGACTCGGCGCTCGACCGCGGGCCCATCCCCAGCGCCGGCGCGCCGGCCGCGGCGGGCTCGATCCAGAGCACGAGGTCGACGTCGTCGCAGTACTGCTCGCCGCGGCGGTACGAGCCTACGCGGTGAAATACGCCAACCGTGGCTGCACGAACCAGACCGCCCTCAAAAGGCTGTGCATGCCGTCCGTGCCATGGAATGGTTGTTGGCGTATTCACCGCGTCAGAGCACCGCGTGAACACGAGGGAGGCGGATGCAAGAGAATACAGCTGAGAATACGGCTGAATACAGCTGAATACGTGTCCTCTCGAGCGCCAGTTCGGATAAAAGGATGCGTCTTCTAATTCTAGGGGTAGGATCCCGTGGCGAGGGCGCGCAGCCGCGGGTGCGCCCGCCGCGCGAGCTCGGCGACACGCGCCTCGTGCTGCTCGACCTCGCGCCGCGGGAATGGCGTGTTGAGCTCCTCGAAGTGGGCGAGGTAGTGCTTGGTCCCCTCCTTGGTGACCAGCGAGGGGCGCGCCTAGTACCGCACCTCCAGAGTGCCGAGTCCAGTGTGGGTGCAGTCCCAAAGGGCCGGGGCTCTCCCCAGATCTCCCCAGATCTCCCCAGATCTCCCCAGATCTCCCCAGATCTCCGAGGCGAGGGCGGGCCGCGCCTTGAGCTGCTCCACAGAGCGGACGCCGTGCTTCTCGATCAGCTCCCACGCGCGCACCTTGCCGGGAGGATAGCCGAGATCTAGAGGTACCTTGCCGAGGATCTAGCCGAAGACCTAGCCGAGACCTAGCCGAGATCTACGGTGAGATAGCGGTGCGATGCTCCCACACGCGCGCACCTTGCCCACCCCCCACACGCGCTTGAGGTCGCGCAGCGCCACCATCATCGGGTCGTTTGCGAGCTTCTCGTAGCGCGCGAGGCGGCCCGTGCGGTAGAGCTCGTGCAGCTTCTCCATCGTCTCTTTCCCGACGCCGTGCAGCGGGCCGAGCGCGCGCAGGTATGCGGCGTTGAACTCGTCGGGGAGGTAGGTCTCGAGGCTGGTGAGCACCTGGCGGTAGTGGTACTCTCGCCCCTTCTTCTCCCCGTTGTCGGCCTGGTGCTTGTGGGCCTTGTAGCAGCTGCTCAGGGCGGTGAAGGCCTCGAGCACCACCTGCCCAGGCGCGAGGGGGGGGTGAAGAAGGGGGGAGGGGTGAAGGGAAGGGGGGGGGGGTCGGGGGGTGGATAAAGGGGGGGGGGAGGGATAAGAAGGGGGGGGGGGGGGGGCAAAAGGGGGGCCCGGGAACCCTCGGGGGGGGGCCACCCCCCCCCCCCAAATTCCAGTCTATTTGCAGATTTCGGCTGAGGCTTTCTCGAGGCAAGCCGGCCTCCCGC